GCACTGAACTAGCTATTACAGAAATTAGCAAGCACTTGTATTCAAAATGCTTACAATGTGCTTTGTAAGAAAAGAAAGAATTAAATAATTTCAGCACAATATTTCCAGAAAGAAAAATAACCTACCTATGAGTCATAAATATATTCTAGACTTTTTGTCACTATGTTATCTTAGGCTATTTTCTATTTTATTGTCTATAAATTTAATTTACAACAGAACTCTATGACCCATTTTATATAATTTAAAGTCAAAAGAATTCTCATCCAAAATATAGACATTCTCAAAAGAAGTAATTTATAACTGGCAACTGATTAGTAGAGTCAATTCAGAAAAGGAAAAAGGATCATTTTAAAATGTGATCATTTAATAAGTGAACTAATCCACACCAGAAAAGAAAATTAAGAACCAAGTAGGTTGGCAAGAGAAGAAATTATGATCCTGGAGAGTAAAAATTGACAAAAGTATGCACAAAATTCTAACTTTTTCTATATAAAAAAATCAGAAAATATTCTTCATTGAACAAATATGTTTGGCAGAAGCAAAGCACTGAAATGACTGAGGAATTTGAATTTTACTTCTTAGGGAATTAGAGACCACTGAATATATGCTTTGAGTACGATAAACACCAAAGTTGTAGTGATATTTATTCAATATTGAATAGCATTAATTGACTGTCCACTGAATGTTAGACCTCTGCTACATCACGCCTGGGATATGATGATAAATCAGAAAAACATGATGGACCATCCCCTAGTGAAATGTGGGAAAACTCCTTCTGGAGATGGTATGGATGCTGCATTAGAAGGATCAAGCCTGGCTGCTACTAGACTATTCAGAATATTATTCATTTTCAATATTAACACCTACTATGAAGGTTGGGCAATCTACTTCCATAGTGATACTATCTCGGAAACCCAAGGAGGATCGCTATGAGTCGAGGCCGACTCCACAGCACGTAACAACAACAACAACAAATTTGAAAACATACTTTAATCCTAGAGTCAATGCCCCAAAGAAAAGTGAATTATCCTCTTTGACAAGAGCCTTCCCCAGGCTCCCTTTATGTCCTGATTCCTTAGGCTGTAAATAAAAGGATTCAACATGGGGGTCACTACCGTGTACATTACAGCCATGACAGTCTCCTTAACAGAGGAATTATTAGCTGATGGGCATAAGTAGAGACCAATGATTGTTCCATAGAAGAGAGATACCACAGAGAGGTGGGAGCCACAGGTGGAGAAAGCCTTGCAGATGCCTCTGGCAGAAGGGACCTTGAGGATGGAAGACACAATTCGTACATAGGATGAAAAGATCAACATAAATGGAACAATAATGACAAGCCCTCCTAAGATAAATATCACCATTTCATTTATCTGAATGTCAGAGCAGACCAACTTCAGCAGAGCTGACATGTCACAGAAAAAGTGGGGGATCACATTATCTGCACAAAAAGACAGCCGAGCCATAAGTAAGGTATGCAACAAAGAAATGAATGTGGTCAGCACCCAGGACAGTGCTACCAGAGAGAGACAGAGCCGGGGGCTCATGATGATGGTGTAGTGCAGGGGGAAGCAGATGGCCACATAGCGGTCGTAGGCCATTGCCACAAGGAGGAAGCTCTCCAGGTCTGCAAAAAGCAGGAAGAAATACATCTGGGCCAGGCAGCCTGCGTAGCGGATGGATGGGACTCGGCTCTGCATGTTCTGCAGCAATTTGGGAATGGTCACAGAAGAGAAGCAGAGGTCGGAGAAGGACAAGTTGCTGAGAAATAAATACATGGGTGTGTGAAGGTGGGAGTCCAGTTGAATGAGGACGATAATGATGAAGTTGCCTAGGACGGTGGTGAGATACATGGCCAGGAACAAGGCATAGAAGAGGTTTTGCTGCTCTGGCTGAATGGGCAGCCCCAGGAGGAGGAACTCAGAGATGACAGTTTGGTTTCTCTTCTCCATGTTGATTTTGTTTTACCTTTTAAAAGTTAAGAATAATTTGTGTGAAAGTATGAATATACTATATACATATACACATTACAGAAGTTTCAGAAAAATATTTTAATAAAATATCCATAAGTCATAAGTCCTCTCTCAACTGTATAAACAAATGTTTATGCAAAGAAAAACTACAACAGCATATGAAGTTATTAGTCAAATATAACCCTATTCCAGAATTCTGTAAGAATATTCCATAACTACACCATGGGTGAGATCAGATCAGCCTGGTCTAAAACAAGATAGGAAATAATCTAAGAAAACACCTCTGTATGGCTCTAATTTAAGGGTGCAGATAATATAATACCAATCAGAAAACCAGTCATCTCCTTATCCATTTTTATCAGTCAGGAATGATGATGGTGATGATAATGGTGGTGGTGATTGTGATGGTGACCACAGGAATAAAGACCACGATAATGTTTGTCAGTGCTTACTTACTCTGTGCCAAACATTAGCTTAAAAAAAAAAAAAAAAAAGCCTCATTGCCATCAAGTTGGTCCGGACTCATAGTGACCCCTCCTTGGGTTTCTGAGGCGGTATCTCTACACAAGTCGATTGCCCCATCTTCCTTCCGAGGAGTGGCTGGTGAGTTTAGCATCTTCTGTTTGTACATTTGTGGATAAGCTTCATAGTCTGTTTATGCCATATATTTAAAAAAAAAGCCTCATTGCCATCAAGTTGGTCCGGACTCATAGTGACCCCTCCTTGGGTTTCCGAGGCGGTATCTCTACAGAAGTCGATTGCCCCATCTTCCTTCCCAGGAGTGGCTGGTGGGTTTGAACCACCAGCCTACTGGTAGCAGTCAAATGCCTTAGGCACTACACCACAAAAGCTAGCATTAATTCATTTACTCTTCACAGCAACCCTATGAGGCAGGTATAATTATCTTCATTTTATAGATAAATAAAGTGAAGTTTATACTCATTAGGAACTTATCCAAGAGCCCACAGAGCAACAGGTTAGTAAGTATCACAGGTTGGTAAGTATTATCAAGATAAAGTCATAGACGAGAGTAGAGACAAAATGAGTTCTGAGAGTAAAGCATTCAGGGGGGAGGGGTAGGAAATGTTTCTTTTAATTCACACATCTAATAATTAAAAAGGGAACCCACAGTCAGTTTCAAATTACTCAGAAATACAACCGCTTCCTCTTGGATCATAGAATATAGCAGCAGGGCAAGAAAAGATGTCCTTTGGTGGAGGTGCACAAAATAACGTTTGGAGGCGTTGTTGTTACGTGCGGTCGAGTTGGACCCGACTCATAGCAATCCCTCCTTGGGTTTCCGAGGCAGTATCACTACAGAAGTAGATTGCCCAACCTTCCTTCCGAGGAGTGGCTGGTGGGTTTGAACCACGAGCCTTCTGGTTAGCGGTCAAGTGCCTTAGCCACTATGCCACCAGAGAAGCCATGAAAATCATGGAGCTAAGCAACCAGATCATGCTACAGAAAATTAAACATGGTCCTTGAACTCTCTGATTTTGTGAATATCTCCAAAAAATGGTATGATGGAATAATTTTTGAAACATTAATCTTTGAAATTTCCTTGGTTTTTACTCAGGAAAGAGATGGAACAGGGAAGCAGAAATAGACCACAAGTGTTTCTGACTTTTTTTCCCAAAAGCCTGGGCCCCTGTGTGAGGACAGAATTTTCTGATAAAGAGAAAAAATATTGGCCAGAATTAACAGGTGAAATGAAACTTCGTCCCAGAAAACTGAAAACAGATTTCCTTGGCTGAGGAGGTAGTGGGAGGGCAGGAGAACGACCAGTGGAGCCCAGGAACAGGGAGGAGTGGGCAATGCCGCCAGAGGCAGCAGGTAAGACGCAAGCCTTAATTCAGAGCACAGTGAAAACTGAAAACCTAAATAGATACTGTATGCAACACTATGCCAATGAGTCTGATGAGTTGAATGAAATAGGTGATTTTCAGAGAGGGAGAGAAAACATAAATTACCAATATTTACTCGATGACGACTAATTTGGGCTTCTCCCATTGTTACTCTGGATGTCCCTGAGGCAGTGGGTTGCCATTTAGTGTTTCCATAGCCAGGCAATTGAAGCCCATCTTCTAAATCAGGAGTCATGAGCTCAAATCTCATTGGGGCTGCTTAACACAATGTACTTTCTAGAGAGGACCCTCTGTAAGGTTTAAAACCATGTCTATCTTGTTCATTGTGAGTGTCAAGTTGTATACTTGTGCATTTGGCTTAACTTTTGACAATATCTCCATCTTTATTTGTTCTTCATACCACATGATGGACACTAACGTACAATTCATTCCTGCAGGAAAACTTATAATCCAAAAATAGAAGACCACATTCTGAGTATCATGCAGTGAAATGAAAAAGTAATAAAAAATAGTTAACCTGAACTACTTGGCTATTACGAAAGACTCTCTTAAATAACTTTTGTGTCAAACAAGCAATCAAAATATCAACAATTCTCTATTCAAAAAGAAAATACCATGTATAAGATCATCACAGAACAAGAAAAATCAATTCCTAATTTTCATTAATAAACTAGAAAAAAATGAATATAATATTAAACTGAAAAGGATAGATAAAGAATGGTAAAAATTCAAGAAAAGATTAAGTGATTATTGAAGTTAAAAGAAGTTGTTAATAAATTAGAAATATGGATGTGAGTGACCAATGTGGCAACATTGAGG